CATCATGGATATATTGATATTGAAGCCTATGGATAAGCTCCAAATCCTCTTGTTCTCTGCAGGCTTTCCCCCCGCTTGACTTGGAGGTCCATATTGCTCAAGGGAAGTGTTGCAGATTATCGACATTAACTGTTCTTTTCACCAACGGGCCATGAAGAGTACCGGCTGGACGATGTATCCCTGGCCAACACACCCACAGGTAGTGATCCACCTCTGTCTGTAGCAATACGTCTCCATTTCCAGATGCATGGCTGTGGATTAACATACCTACTTACAGGGATACATGCACAAGGTGACACAAGTTTTCAGTGATGATGGGAGCCCTTCATGCCTCTGGTTCACCACAGGCAATGGTGAAACTCAGGCTTTCACTCTCAGGCTCGTTTTATGTCAACAGTAAGTACTTGCTCTCAGGACCAAGCACCATTGATGCCTGTCCAATTCTGAACCTGTTCATAGGCTCCAATATCAACATACTGATACTGAAACCTAGCGATAGACCCCAACTCCACTCGTTCTCTGCAAGCATGCGCCCCTTTGTCTCAAAGGCCCATGTTGCTCAAGAGAAGTGTTGCAGACTATCGACATTTACTGGCTGGATGGCAGAGACCAGAGGGTGGTGATCAGCAGTGCACAGTCTAGTTGGAGGCCTGCAGTAAGTGGTGTCCCTCAGGAGTCATTCATCGGTCCAATCCTGTTCAATTTATTCATCAATGACCTGGATGAAGGCACAGAGTGCTCCCTCAGCAAGTTTGCTGATGATATGAAACTGGGAGGAGTAGCTGATACCCCAGAAGGCTGCGCTGCCATCCAGAGGGACCTGGACAAACTGGACAACTGGGTGGTGAAAAACCTCATGCAATTCAACAAGGCCAAGTGCAAGGTTCTGCACCTGGGGAGGAATAACCCCAGACACCAGTACAGGCTGGGGACTGACCTTCTGGACAGTAGCTCTGCAGAGAAGGACCTGGGCCATATCTGGAGTATTGTGTCCAGTTCTGGGCTCCACAGTATAAGAGGGATGTGGAGTTGCTGGAGAGAGTCCAGCGCAGGGCTACAAGAATGATCAGGGGCCTGGAACATCTGTCCTGTGAGGAGAGACTGAGGGAGCTGGGCCTGTTCAGCCTGTAGAAGAGAAGGCTGAGAGTAGACCTGATCAGTGTCTATAAGCATCTCAAGGGAGGCAGTGAGGAGGATGATGCTGGCCTCTTTTCAGTGGTGGGATTTCCTCTAGTGGGAACTAGAGGAAACAGCCAGAAACGAAAGCATCAAAAGTTCCACAGGAACTTAAGGAAAAATCTCTTAGCAGTGAGGGTGACAGAGGACAGGAACAGGTTGCCCAGAGAGGTTGTGGAGTCCCCTTCTCTGGAGATCTTCAAAACCCGCTTGGATGCAGTCCTGTGCCATGTGCATGATCCTGCATGTGCAGAGGGGTTGGACTAGATGACCTCTGGAGGTCCCTTCCAACCTTAAGAATTCTATGATTCTATGACTTTAACTGTTCTTTTCACCAATGGGCTGTGAACAGTACTGGCTGCCTAACGTATCTCTAGGCCAACGCACTCATAGCTACTGCTCCCCCTTCATCTGTAGCTACACATCTCCAATGCCAGATGCCTCGAGGGCTGTGGATTTCCACACCTGCTTACGGGGATCCACACACAAGGTGCCACAAATTTTTAGGGACTGAAGACAGCCCTTCATGCGTCTGGCTCTGGCTCAGCACAGGCATCAAGAGCTTTTGCCCTTGAGCCCCTTTTACTCTTTGAAGTCTTCAAAGAGCAAATCATGAACAGTGAGTATCTCATTCTCCTCAGGCATGCACCCCTTTGGCTTGAGGGCAGGTATTGCTCAAGGCAAGCATCTCAAGACTATCAACAGTGACGTTTTTTCTCACTAACGAGTCATGAGGAATAGCGGGTGCCCAACCTATCCCTAGGTCAATGAACCCCTAGATATCTCCAGGCTATGTAGTGCTCACTTTCAAGTGTTTTTTCCGTTTATATACTCTGAACAGCTTGACACTTCATCCCAGGCCTCTCTCCTTGGACTCTCCTTGGATGACTGTACTGGCTAAACTCCTTACTTTGTTGTGATAGGGACACACATATTGGAGAACTGATGAAGGCAATAGTAAATCATTCAACTTTCTGAAAAAAAATCTTTTACTAAATTTTCTTATACATAGGCACCCATATTCTGGGCATAAATTTATAACAATTATTTGTTTAAAATTTGTCCACAAATCCTGTTTGTATTCCTTTCAATTGAATAGGTAGCTATATCCCACTGATAACACATAAATGTAATGATTCAAAAGGGCAAGTTCCACAAAGAGGAGGAAATTGAGGAAATTAATTTTCATGGGATAAGTCAGGCATAAAAGTGTGAATGAAAAAAAGTCTTTTTTAAAAAATTTACTTAATTCTTGATTAATACAGTTCCAGCCCGTTATGGCTGGTCAGAAATAAATTAAACAACTGATGACAGATTAAATAATAGACCACCCCTTTAAATAATAGACCACCCCTTGATTTGTTTTCCCCTTAAAGAGACTGGCAATTAGCAGTCTTTAAATAGTTTTGGTCTCTAGACCTCTTCTTTTCCCTGTTCTCCTAGACAACAAATAAACTCTTTTCCTCCTTTAATTCCGCCTCTTAAGGTAGACATATTGCATATGTCGTAAAATAAAACTTGCGAGAGCACAAATTCAAAGAAAACAGCTTTCCTGGTCTGTGTGGGTGTATCCTTGGTACGGCCTTAAACGGTAGTATACAGCGTGGTCATTTTGATGATATTTACTCTGAATTTAGGCTGTCTATTCCTTTGGGGCTGTACTCCCATTAAAAACACCTGCTTATGTTATTGTATATTACCTGTGTGTCTCTGGATAATAAATGGCACTGCAGTGCTCTTATTTTACAGAAGCCGAAGTGTGTATTTCTGAAGGCTCAGGTAAAGACTGGTTTTCAGCTCAATGAAGACATTCCACTCCTTATGCCATGTCATTACTTATAGCTTCCTTCTCAAGATACCCCTTGATATACACCTTCTAATCCTACCAATATTGTTGGCTTGTCAAAGAATCATGCACTGATCACTTCATCGTATAGTGAATTTCTGAATGGAAAGTTAATAATAGGGAGAACAATGCATTATTATTGCAGCATAAAATCCATTAAGTTGCTATTTATGTCTCATCAAGCCTCACCAGCAAGCACTAGTCTAAAAATTGAGTTCCTTTCCTATGGCTACTATTTTTTTTTCATTAAAAAAATTAGCCAAAAAGTTTCTAGAAGGGCTTCAGGAAATTAAAACTGCTCGTACTTAGCATTTTGATATACACTAAGAATGCTGTATATGCCTGATATAACACTGGAGCATTTTGTTTCAGTGCTGACCCTTATGTTTAACTAAAGTCTGTACATTTGGAAAACGAAAATCCAAATGTTTTCATGTTTTCCAAGCTCTAATTTCAAAACGAAATTGTCTGAATGTCTGCAATATTTTGATTCTATTATTGCATTAAGATGGAAAAATAAATAAGTAAATAAATAATAAGAATGTATTCACCACCATCAGCAGCAGCAGGATAAATTATGTTCTCAATAGTACCAGCAAAATCCCCACTGTGTTCATTGTGCTTGCCCCAGTGCAAAACCTTGTACTTTGGTAAGCCACTCTGTTAAAACAGAACAAATACCCTTGCTCTGTAACGTTAACTGCTTTAACCAAGGATATGGCAATATCCTTGCTTATGGCAACTTGATTTTTGCCATATCGAAGGATATGGCAAGTTGATTTTTGTAATTTAACTAACTGAAGTCTGATTATAATGTTATGTTTTAACAATAACTTTTCAGAACACAACAAACAAACAAACATGACAGGTGAACAGGCCCTAAGAAACCTAAGATTGTTTTAAGAGTTTGTCTAGATAGTCCTGGATTTCAGAGCCAAATTATCCACATCAATTTTATAGAGAAATTAGGAGGCACACCAGTTCAAAAGATTACATTCGAACAAAACCTAAACACATTTTCTCTGCTGATAAAATATTTGGCACGGTTGATGGTGAAATTACTTCAGGCAAAACTCTAAATGGTTTCAGTGAAGTTTATTTTACAGGAGTTCCCTTCAACAAAGGAGTGGTTACTCTAAGGACCAGAACAGCCAATTCCACCCAACCTTGTTTCTAAAACAGAGAACAATAACGCACTGCATAACTATCTGGAAGGCCTCAGGTCAACACAAGTTACCTCCCTTCAGCAATTACTGGAATATTTCACTGAGTTTCTTGGATACATACATGGTTTGGCATTGGACTTGTGTTCATTTGCAGAAAGGATTGAATTGGATCCCATTGTTTGCAAAGGTTTGACTGAATTCTATCCAGGTTGTTAGATGGCTAGCACAAACCGGTTTTAAAACCACTTTAGTGTGGTACTTCCCAGTCTAATAAACTTAACTGAGAAAAAGATTCATGGCTAGTGGATTCATACGACAAGCAAAAGAATGATGCATTTCTTTTCCCCTTCTATTATAAACACACCCTGATAAGATTTTTTTGAATTGACTACACAACCGAGAAAAAGACAAATAATCAATTTTTTTAGTAAGCTCTGTGTGATAGGAAGTCTTAGACTCACATTCATTCCTTCTAAATTTTGATACGTATCTGAAATGCCTGATTTAGAAAGTTAGAGGGCTTATACCATCAATGAGCAGAGATAGTCACTTCCAAAGAACATAAAGAACTCATGAGGCTAAACTAGTCTAAAACACTTCTAGAAGCAAAGGCTATCCTACTCCTAACTGAGAAAACTCTGGCAGATACCGGCATTTTTGGTCTTTGGACTCATAGATTGTAATTGCCAGAAGTAGCTAATACATTGTAAATGAGCAGCTAGTATATTGTAAATTCCTACGTAAATAAAATCTTCAAATTGTTGCTTTGACTTTAATAAGCATAATAATTTTAATGGATCAAGATCCTCCACTCAATGCTTTGAATTCTCGGTCTTCTGATCCAGAACTTTTGTCTTTCCCCAATCCTTAAGAATATGTTGAATATTCCATCTTTGTCCTGAGCAGGTCTGCATCACAAGTGTGTATGAAGCCTGTTTGTCTTCTATGATTTCAAGGCACCTTCTAGTGTTTCTATTGATTACTGCTGATCCCTACAAAAAGAAGGAAAATATAAGAAAAGGTATGGGATTAAAAGTGTGCTGCTCAGTTCAGAATAGTTCTCTTGGCCTCTACAAATGAATATGACGAATTTATGCAAATCACAGATAGAAAAGAAAACTTTTGCACTTTCTCCATGCTAATGAAGCATGACAGCTTTTGGAAATCTCCAATGTTTATGAAAATACATTTACAAATTTACTCTGTTTCTGTTTTCTGATGATTTTTTAAATTCTGTTTTGTGGTGTTTTTTACAGTTAAAAAATCATTTTTGGAATTTTTATACTTTAACAAGTTCTTCAAGAAAAGAGCTAATAAAAGATCAAGAGAATATTCTCCTCTTATCTCTGTTAGTATTTCAATGTAAAATACTGTGAATAGGGTGGGTGTGACTAAGTCCACTCATCATATTGGAAATAATGATGTTTATAGTAGGCTGGGCTACAGAACAAACAAGATCTTAACAAGCTTCATTAGGCAACCAGTTCTTTTACTCTCATAATGTTTGACACACACAAATAACTGAAGATTTACTTTTAAGGTGGGTCTAAAACCTTTCAGAAATATATCTTCACCTATTTCTAAGTTCTGTGGTTATAGACCAGACTAGACAAGAAAAAATCTGTGCTATCAAAATTTCAAAATACAAGAAAAGCCATGAGCTTAAAAATGTGCTGCTCAGTTCAGAAGTAACTCTCTTGGCCTCTACAAATCATCTGACGAATCCATGCAAGTCACAGACAGGAAAGAAAGGTTTTGCACTTTCTCCACGCTAGTGAAGCATACAACTTTTGGAAATCTCCAATGTTTATTAAAATATATTTTAAAACTTTCTCTGTTTCTGTTTTCTGATGATTTTTTAAAATTCTGTTTTGTGTTTTTTTTTACAGTTCAAAAATCATTTTAGGAATTTTTATACTTTAACAGGTTCTGCAAGAAAAGGGCTAATAAAAGATCTAGGAGAATATTCTCCTCTTATCTCTGTTAGTATTTCAATGTAAAATACTGTGAATAGGGTGGGTGTGACTAAGTCCACTCATCATATTGAAAATAATGATGTTTATAATAGGCTGGGCTACAGAACCAACAATAGCTTAACAGGCTTCAGTTGTTTTACTCTAATGATGTTTGACACACACAAATAACTGAATATTTACTTTTAAGGGGTGTCTAAAATCTTTCAGAAAGATATACTCATATTTTTCCAAGTTCTGTGGTTACAGACCACACTAAGGACAAAAAACCCCTCTGCTATCAAAATTTCTGTTCCGGAGACTCTACAGAGCCATATTATTTGTTTGTTGTCTTTTACCAATTCAACCCTAGACTCAGTCACTCTCCCAAGATTTGTCTCCTGTGTAGTATTTTACTGAGAGCAGATTATAGTAAACAGGCACACAGTTTGTATGTAAGATTAATTACTTATTAAATGTACAAACTGATGAGATCTGAAGTGCCTGAGAAAGGAAAAGTTTCATGGCTACCCGTTTCACCTCTCCCCTCCATTGTTGCTGCCTATTTATCCTGCTGCAGCTGGATATTTATCTGCCAACTGACTGAGCACAAGGAAGAGACAATGAAAGCAGAATATGAGGATATCATTTAGAATCTTAAGTCTGTCAGTGTCAGCTGCCACAAGTAAGGCACAAATGAAGACAAATGAACTATGCACTCACTTGACAGCTCTATCATTAGCCTGAGCCCAAAAAGGGTGAGCCTAGCCCGACCTCTAACAAGGATTTCCATACTAAGATGTTGTTTCTACAGCACCAGAAAGTGCTCGGGACATGGAGACTAGCCTGCTGCTCTTTCCCCAGAACAAATCTGTCCCATGAGGAGGTTGGGAAGACAGATTGTGGACAGCAAAGGGAGTTCATAATCTATAATCTGGCCATCAAAAACAAGAGACACTTAAGTCTTGCACATTTCCTGACTGCTAAATGAGCAAGTGAGAATTTTTCACCTGCCCATGTAAAAAGGCTTTGGATTAAGCCACTTAATTCCACCAAGAAAGACAGGTGTACAAATTAGTTCTTGTAGCTCAGATAACATATGGGAACTGGTTAAATTCTGATAGGTCAGTCAGCTGTGTAAGTGTGACTGTCCCCCGGTCTTCAACTGGTCTGTTTAGAAGGTTCACACACCCTTGCAAATTCCTTGACTACATCTTAGCTCTTCCACTAACACATACAAGTCCTGAAATTAAAGCAACCCTATTCAGAAGTTAACTTTTTTGCAATGAAAATCTTTAGGATTCCTCATAATGAGAAATCTTACTGAAATGTGGGGATACAGAAATGTACCTACTTGCTTAAAATCCCAGTACATGTTCAGGCCTTTATTCAAAGCTGTGTCACATTGCTCTAAAACTGGCAGGTCTCCACTCCCAGGGTCAGTTAGACATCGATCAATCATATTCAGTCGGGCACGCAAACCTCCTATGTATATTTCTCCAGTGCTGTGATAAAAGATATGCTGAAAGAGAAGGTGACACCATTGTCAATGAATTAATATAGCAAGGAAATCTCAGATGGTTCTGCAACTCACAGTGAGTTTGGCTGTACAGAACCAGCATTCACCAGGATGAATTTATCTCCTACAAGGGACAGCATCCTTCTCTTTGACTACAAAAAACGCAGTATTTGCAACTGAATGTTAAACCTCATCTTTCCTCCTCCTGAGAGAACAGGCCGCAAGGTGTGAGGAATGCTCAGTGTCTCTCCTATTCAGTCTACTGATCTTCTATTAATCAGAAACATCAGTCAGTATTAATATGAGGCCTTGCCTCTTTTGTAAGGATAAACCAAAAGCCTGCATTTATCGCACTTAGATCTCCATACAAAACTCCTCTGCTATCACTTGTTTTAGTGGAGGTGGGGACAGAATTGCAGAGTTTACTCAAGTAAAGGTTTATCTTCCCCTCTAGATAGCACAGAGGGTTTTGAAATGCTCATTTCATAGCGCCATGGGAAGTTAAATTTTGGTAATGGCTCACATCTGACGTTTGCATTACCTGTGGTGAATATGCATGACAAACATACATAATTGGTGTATTTCCAGGAATAGGACCTTGATCAATACAGATATCTTCTTTCAATGTGTTTTTCATCTACAAGATGAAATAGGAAAGTTACTGTAAGGAATAGCTATCCTGTTTCCAACACTCCACCAGGAATTCTGTAACTCTCCTGTAAGCAAAGCTTTTTTATTCAGAGCTCTGAATCAAATCCTGAAGTGGAAAGTACAGTATGAAGTCAGAAAAGAACCTCTGACCATCTTGCAGAAATGATTATCATAGCACAAATAAGAAGCAAATCAAAGACTCAGCATTACTAGATGATACTGATCCATTCTTGTTCTTCACTTAGTGAGCCTTACATGCAATAAAACAATCTATATTATGTACTTTCCCAAACAACTTCTATGCTCCCATCAGTACATACAAAATAACAAATTTAGAGATTCTAGAGTGGCTCTAGAGTACTCATAAAAAATACGAGCAAGAAAGCCTTTCTAAAAAATTATATCACAGACTCTAGAATTGTTGACAACAGCTCTTTATAACACTGGATTTAATTAGTTGTTCCATATTTGAAATAAGTAGACTCAATACTTACTGTTCCATAGGCAACAATGTTGGGCAGAACTACTAAATTAGGGTAAACATTTTTAATGTACCAGTCAAAGCTTTTACAGTTCAGTTTCTTCCTTAGTTCCCTTCTGGAAGAAATATCTCCAAAGTCTATTCCAGGATTCTGGAAGAACACCACATTTAATTTCAGCACATTAATGCAATCTGAGAAAATACAGACTTAAAAGTTAATTTGAACATATATTTTTTAAACTTAAGAAATTCAGAACATGTTTTGTCTGAAGTTCCAATAAACTACTGAAGAACTAACATGTTATGACTTGATAGATGTAAAAAATATCAGAATTAGACATGGGTAGGAAGCAGACGTTCTCCTGTTTTATAGTTACATAAAAAGTAGATCAAGGTGAAAAAATAGGAGAGAGAGTTCATTAACAACACTAACTTGAGCAAAGAAATGTGACTGATTAAAATAAACAAAATTCTCTCAAGGGCAGAAATTAATCCACTGTGAAAAAGATTGTACTTTTCTTGCTATTAATAGCTTCATTTTTGATGACTAATATTTTTGATGAAAAGAAATGGTTCTTAAGAAGAATTCCAAATGGTTTCAGTATAATTCAATTAGTGGAAAGGGGAAGTGGATTGTTTTAATGTATTAATTTAGGCTATATATTTTAGCATATATTAGAATTTTTACAATTACAGTAGATACTTTACAATTATCTATTCAAGAAAACAGAAGGCAGTAGGAGAGTATACTCCTTTAACCAAGATATATAAATACTTTGAAGTAAAACTTCATGAGCTGTGTCTTCTTCATGGAAGATATTAATACTCAAAAAATTGTGCTGACATTTCTAGTATTATTAGCAGTTTGTCAGGTGGGAAGTTAAAACCATATTCAGAATTACTGAGATAATTAAAACAACAACAAAGAGTATTTTGAAAGGACAGATTATCTCTAAAGGAAAAACAGAAATGTAATTTTTCACAAATAGGCATAAAAACATGAAATCTGAACACAGTATGAAGAAAATGGAAAATTCTAACAAAGAATCAATCAGAAAGCTACTTTCATAAGGTTTACTTTGCAGTTCTCAGTGAAGGTTAAGAATATCAGGCCAAATGAGAATTCAGTATTCTGAGATTATTTAAAAAAAAAAAAGAGCATTAAAAATCACTTTATATGTGTGGTGCCTGTCTTAATACAATCTATTGAATTGTGAATTAAGAACAGCATGACATTAAAAAAGGAAAAGGAAAGATGGGAAAGGAAGGATGCGAAAGGAAATTTTCCAACTATATGAACTGAATTCTGAGAATTCAGAATTCTTATTTTCCTGATATTAGCCTTTTTGCACACTTTCTACGATGCTATAAGACTGATTCCTTTGTCTTCCAAGAAAACAAGAGCAGAGTTTTGAAATGCAGAGAGAAGAACTCACTTAAATAGAAGTTGCTTGATATTTGATGAAAAGCAATTGATGGTTCTATTCAAGGTTCCCTTTTTGCCTATTCAGGGACATCTGGATCATTAGAGAAATTTTCTTTTTTAAAAATTGTAAAGATTCCAGGTAAACTAATTCCTTCATTTAAAAAGATAAAATATGTTAATAGGTTTGATTATAAGTTCTTCTAAACAAGCTATCAGCTCTTGGTCTGTGAATATATAGCACAGCATAAAAGGGAATGGTTAAAGATGATGGATGACATCTTTATCAATATTTAACATAACAATATATATTTTTAATTTTTTTAATTTTTTTATAGTGTATTTCATAACCACTCAAGCTTGCCTTCTGTCATACAATCACTTGCTCTACTTGACCACTTTTAGACTATGGATCCCAATTTGAAACACATGGAAACACCACAACCTCCACTGGAAGATTCCACGCTAAGTAGACCATGTACTTGTAGTCATCCATCCACACTTCTGCCACCCTCAAGGCATTCCGTCTCACAGAGATACTCAAGTCTGGCAAATAAGGCTTGTGAGCTCTTTCCAAATGAGCGATTCTTGAGCAGGGTAATACTTCTATTTTCCCTCCACACTGCCAGGCCTGGATTGAGAAGAGAGAATTTCAGGTAAATTTGCCTGATTACCCAAGGTCTTTTCACATATTGTTAGAATGATCCTATTTCTGCTCCCCCTGCTCCTTCACCAGATGCATGTGCTCTCAACATTCAAAGCCCTATTTCTTGACTTGAGTGAATACAGAGAATGTTTCAGTACCTTTCACTCCATTATGCGTAGCCTTATTTCAGATCCTAGTTTTGTTTTTTTTCTTTGCCATCATCAGCAGTAAAACCAATTACTAGTTTTTAGTTTAAGGCACTCAGAGCCATTGGCCCAGATGTGCTAAGGTAAACCAGGGCATAGATGATCTCACTGGGAGCCTGCCTGCTAAAGACCATTGTGGATCTGGACCTGAATTTTTCAGAAATAATGATATTGCCCAGGAGATGACAAGGACAAAACTGGTCCTACAGAATCTTAAAAACTAAAGAGAATTCAAGGAGTATCCACAGAGATAGTTAAGCAGACCACAACCTATGCTTCAAAACCAAGAGTCTAGCACAAATCCAACCAACCTGTGCAAGTTCAGTCACTGCAAGAGTGGAAGCTCTTCAAGAAATGATAAGCTTTGTACAGCACTGGATCTGTGCTGATCTAAGCTCAAGCTGGGAAGTTCACATGGCAATAGCTTAGACCACACAGCGCTAGCATAGCAGAGCAAATATATTTTCAGGCAAGACAACTGACATATTAACTCAATATTAATTGACCACTTGCCTTACCTGATGTGAGGTAATGACATGCCAAATTTCTATTTTACAGACAGAAATTGAAACATGAAGTCTTTGGACATCACCATTATGTGTAATGGAGAAATGTGTCAAAATAGAGCATTCATCCAAGTTAATAAATTCATATAACTCAATCTGCTGTCTGACACAGGATGTCAATTTACAGAGGAATTCCATCTGTCCTAGCATTTAACAAATTTCGAAGACAGTTACTCTATGTTCTCTCCATTATTTTTTCCACAAACTAAACAATTTCATTTCCTCCAGTCTCTGCTCTGATGTCATATGTTGCTAGACCTCTATTCATTCTCTGCTTTCCTTCAGACTCTTTAGTTATTCTCTGTCTTTCATGATATATGGCCCCAGAACTCCAAACACTGCTCCAGTTGAGGCCAGCAGTAGAGAAGGATCAATGTCTTCATTTCCCATCCATCTGCATGACTGTTGACTCTTGGACAGTCTGCTTTTCACAGTTCTTTTCTAGCTAGATGTTCCTCAACCTACATCACTGTAGCTGGTTAGTTTTCCTATTTCCACTCGTTACTGCTGCTTTTTGCCTATGCAAATGTCATGCTACCTATCACAGAAAAAAATAGGCTTGCTCAATATAATTTTTTAGACAAATGTATGTTGTTGTATTGGGGATGGAAATTTTTATGATCTGTAGAGTCATAAATAACTATTGTGTGAAACAAAATTTAGACCTTGGAGGAAAAATACTGAACTTTGATAGTGCTCAGCAGAGGCTACCAACAAAGGAAGATTTTAACACCCAGATCTCTGAAGAAGAATGGAAAGCATGTAGTGGTTACATGCTATCTAAACGAACAAAGAAATTTGTTAGCTTAGGAGAAACAAGAACTGCTGTTCAGGCTGGTTTGCTGCCAGCCTAACTACAAAATGCTGTCTAAGGAAGTTTGAAGGCCAAAGCCACTGTGAGAACAAGAAGGATAAGGAAAGCGGGACCACCAAATTGAGGAACGAGACCCCCTTCAGGAATCTGCGCAGGCGCAGTCCTAAAAGGGTTGTGTAACAGTAAGGCATAGATTTACTCTCCCCTGGGCGGCCTCTTGGCACATACTGGCCCTATGTGACCGCATGCCCTGGGGAAAAAATACAACGGGTGGATTTGAGGGTTGGAGACTCCCAACATCGAGACCAATGTTGTCTCCCTGGGGACACCCGCTATGATTGAGAGCCTGCCAGCCCCTCCAGTTTGCTATCTTGGAGAGATGTGTGGTCTCGTAATCCTACTGGCAAGCATTATTCAGTAAGTAACTTATTTGTATTCACTTGTATTCACTAACCAACTCGTATTCATTTGTACTTGTATCTATGTTGTTTTAATTAAAGGCATCAGTGTCAGTAAGTCCATCTCGTCAAATGCGTCTTTTTATTGCCCAATCTCGAGCTCATCTGGCACAGTTGTCTATGTTGTCTTAAATGTATTTACAAAGGTAGCAGAAAATAAAGAAAAGGCTCCAAGATCATAACAGAATGGCCATACTAGACGACAGACTTGTCTAGCCTAGTATTCTGCATCCAGCAGGGACCACAAACCTGCCTGGAAAAGAGGAAGAACAAGCCAAGTGTGGATGATACTTCCCGCAGAATCTAATTTCCCACGGTTCAGATATGTACCATAACACTTAGAAGGTTTCCTTTGAAAAACCTGTTCATTCTGCCCATGTATCTCTGCATGTTTTTAAGATCCACAATATTCTTTAGCAAGGAGTTCCATAGGCCTGTTATTTGAAGAGTAAAGAACCACCTCTTTATATTTTGAACTTTGTAATTAAGGTGTTTCAAAGCTCCCTAGCTTGCACTTTGGCAGAGAGCATTTTTTTTCCCCAGGAATTGAAATCTTGCTCAAAATTATAAACAAGTTTATAAACAAGTTTATATTGAGATTTGGTAGTTTTATATTATAAACAAGTTTATATTATGAGTGAATATAATATAAATCAACCAAATCTCAATATAAACTTGTTTATAATTCTCATGCTCTTCCATCCATCTCTTTTTTCTACATGTAAGTGCCTTTTTCATTTTTTCCTCTTAATCCTTCCATAATACCTCTCACTACTTTTCAAAAGGACTTGTGAATGCACTAAAAACAGAAAAAACCTGCTGGTGAAACTCTTCCAGCAAAAAGAAGCATCTATTCTTGAGCCGAAGACATACAAAAATGACAAGCACATTACTTTCTACGACAGATATGGCTTTTTCTCTTAAAAATGTTTCTTAAGTTTATCTATCTTTTCTTAACTTAATTTCATCTTTTTCTACTGCTCAGCCAAAAGAAAAACTTCTATAGAGAATCACATCTCATGATTCACTATTTTCCATTGAGCCAAGTTTTCGTGTCAGGAGCCAAACTCTGTAAGCAGTATCCACAAAATTGTCCTGCTGAGCCTTAAAAACTTATGGAAATCTATCCATTTCTCTTTGTATCCAAAATACACTAAGTCATTCTTAAAAATTTGCCTATGCTTTGGGCAATAACCAGTGACATGAGTACTTTCAAAAATCATGTGCCGTGCTTTAGTGCTTCTTTTAGAAAAATAATGGAAAAATAAGTTTACCCTCAAGCCAAGTTCCACATTTTCTCCTCCGTATATGTGCATTCCACCATCCAGAACACCAATCTCACCCAAAAATTCTCTATGTGCAACAAGAATCCCCATTATAGATGGGCTCCTGGAGAACACAAAAGCAACATTAGAAAGAAGCAACCACGCTGAAAACAAAGTAAAATCAACCACTGCTTGGGATTCCAGATGAATTTCAGAGAGCAGTAGGTAAACAGGATAACAGATAACAGGAAAGAGTCCAGACATCAACAAAAACATAACCAGGGGTGACATAAAAAAAGTATTCAGATATATAAAACAAGAAGAAAGAATCAGATAAAACTGCAGCAAGTTAGGATTGCATTAGACATTAGGAGATTTTATCTAATATAAAAGAAGCTAAGATAGTAAAACTGGTTGCCAAAGGGGACTCTGGAATCGCTATAAACTGAGGTTTTGAAAGAAAACAGCAGGAACAATTATTCTGTTGTTGAATTCAGCCTGGAGCATGGGCGAAAGGAGGCTGAAAGTGGACATGTTACTATCTTTGGGGGGATCTTACAAATCTGTATCAACATCTGAAAAGAGGATGTAAAGAAGACGGGGCCAGACTCATCTCAGTAGTGCTCAGCAATGGAATGGGATGCAATGTGTACAAACAAACACAGGAAGCTCTGTCTGAGCATAAGGAAATTTACTTATTGAGCATGGGAACAAGTTGCCTAGATAGGCTGTGGAGTCTCTCCTTGGAGAGATATTCAAAAGCTGTTTAGACAGGGTCCTGGGCAACACCTGCTTGAACAGGGGTGCTGGACTAGATGATCTCTAGAGGCTCCTTCCAACCTCAACAGGTTCCATGATTCTTTAATTCTTTTAATATTCCCATAATCTATGACAAAACCTAGTTCTGTTTGCATTTGCCCCCAAAAATGTGACCTTCTCATTAACAATTCTTTAAGCTACATTTAGCTTTCTTTCCTTTCATTACCCTGCCCGAGCCATTAATATTTACTATGTAACACTTTTAATGCACACAGGCTCCAATTTCACCTACAGCTTTTATCTAGGCATCTAGGCAGCCTTATCTCCAGTGTTTGATTACCAACAGTAACAGTACGTAAGTAAAGTATTCTTCCATCTCCTCTGATGAACATATGATTTTGTAATGCTTTCACAGTGTCTTTGCTGTGGCTTTCAAGATTTACACAGAACATTTTAAAAATATTTTATGTAAGTAAAATAGAACTAGAAAAATCTGGTGATTATGTCTTATCTTTTGGTGGCTGTTTAATATTTCTTTATAGACTGCTATTAAGGGATTGCAAATAACATTTGTCATCTGTATAAAACAAGGAGACCAATTCTTTCACTCAGCAAAAGATGTTTATTGATATCACAGTACCTGCAATCATTTTATGTTGAACAGACATACACAAATCTGAGGGAGTTGTGGGAAGCACAAGGAAAAAGGTTGAATCATAAGCCTAGCACTAAAAGGCTGCTTTAGATAAAACAGCCATATGCATTGTGTAATGATTGAAAAATGCTGCCCAAGGTAATCTCAGTCACACATCTCTAAATAAAGAACTTCATGACTTGAATCCATGTGAATCTTCATAGCTGGGACATGCAACTGTCTAGCAAAGCTGTGAGATCCAACCCAGAATCCTGAGCAAGCACAGAGAGGTGACAGTTTATCTTGATCAGCTAATGAATATTACTACCACCTTTCTGAGTAAGGAACATAAGACAGAAAAATTAAAGTAACTTGACCAGGGTAGCCTGAAAATTTGACAGCCTGATTAGCACAGAGAAGATTTTGGAATTCAGGCGATGCACTGAGATTTTTCTGACTGCCTAAGCATCCATGCACCCATTTCAACTATCTAGACATAAAGTGCTACATAGGTATCTATCCTACCACCTAGGAAATCTCTTTTCCCTTCTTCCAGTCCTAAACTGGATATTACGTCCCTCTCAAAGCTGTTCATACTCACCGAACTGGAGCTGTTTCATCTTTGAGAGCATACCATTCAGCTGGTAAAGGTTCATAAAGGCACCAGAGAGCCCAGTCAAATCCATCCGCAGCCACTGCATACTGGAGAAGTTCAAAGTCATCAAAGCGAATATTGTCAAATACTGGTGATATAATAACAGTGCGATCTTCTTTTATTCGAGACAGGATAGGTTCAGCCCTATGAAAATTAACCAAAAATCTAGTCACCTTGAAGAAGTAGAAGTCTTACAAATTGAACTAAATTGCATAACCATTTTCTAAAACTGTGCTAGTTTGTTTATTTATTCATAAATTTTCGGCTCTACAAAAAGAGTTCGGCCGTTCCTGGAGCACTAGTAATACTATTTGCTAACACCATGGCTCAATTCTCCCTTCCATTAGACAACTCTGTATTTTGACTGTCACTTATTATACTAACCCTACCCTCCACTCTTAACTTACTGGGCTGTATTGCAACCTGGGTCTGCTTCCTACAGACTCCAAAAATTTCTTCTCTATCTGTGCAAAGAGGTAAGAGAAGAGAGGAAAGGGAGATAGGTGAGAGGTGCCTATAAGTCCCGAGGGAGATCGGCTCCCCCTCTCTTTCTTGTGCCTTGATGGCGTGGCTGCAGTCTGCAGGAGGAAGAGACTAGTATGGGGGAAGGGGACAACTCCTACTGTTGTTAGGCTTCTAGGCACAGGCCTTTCATCTCCCTATGTACTCTTTTCATTTTGGTGCTAAAAGCCATGACTGAAGGCATATGGTATTACCTTTAAGACTGTAACAACTAGGAAGTGTCAGCAAGTGTGTTATCCAAAGAGAAGAGAGAGATCTTGATAGAACTGCCTTTTGGTCTGAAGAGGGATGAAAGAACTTTGTTCCCAGGAAGAAAGACAACATGCACAATAGTCAGCCACTGAATTCAGTAGTCCAGAGGAGAGGAAACTTTACAAACAGTAATTAAACATTGTAAAAAGGCAAAATTGTAATAGGAATCAAGTCAATTTATAGTCATGTCAGTATAAGAGCTGCCTGCTATAAAGGGCTAAATTTTTTCAGTACTGGAATCAGCATTCTCAACCATCACTCTCATTTCACTACGCAATCTTTTTTCCTAGAAATGCAATAAATATGCAGTGACAATAGGCATTGCTCTCTTGTTCTTCACAAAATAGCTTATTCTCTTATCTGGCTGTTTTGCTATTTATTTCAAACAATTTTACCCCTATATAATGACCCAATGACTGTCAATTAACTCATGGTTTGCCAGAAAGGAGAAACATGTACAGATGCTTGTCCCAATTACACAATCAAACTCTTTTCTTGCTTCTTCTGCTCCCTCCAAAAGTAAATAATGATTAAAAAAATCCTTTTGGTTTTACCACGCTACATTAACTTCGACATGAGCATCCAAAATTGCAACAACATCTGCAGTTGATGCCTTCCAGCCAGAAATCCGAGCTTGTGTCAGGCCTTCTCTTTTCTGATGTCTTATGATTTTAAGCAGTCCAAGATGCTTTGCATTGTAACTTTTGATATGTGCTTCCAAAGGTCCTTTCAGATCATCTAAAAAAGTTCCACACATTTTAATGATTTTAAAAAATTAACAGAAGTCATCAATATTAAGAACTAGAAAAGATAATTAGACAACTGCTTTCTAGCTTCTCCCCGTTCCAGACTGAAAATGCCTGAAAGGTTCTTTAAAATAGAATTGCTAGAAGAATCAATTACATCTCATCAGACAAGACGGCAAGATAAAACCAGATTTGCCTGCAGCATCCAAGGGAGGGTGCTATCAAAACTGGACAAGACAGAACTTCCACTGTGAAAAGACAGAGCTGAGGTCCTAATAATGCAATGGTGGTGCTGCTTACCATCCATAACAACCTCTTTAGTTGCAACAATGTTAAAAGAACATACTAACTCAGAGTTTGATATGAAAGAACTTGTGACAAATTTAAGATCTTACAATATGAGACATTACACCTAGGGTGATTTCAAAAGGTATATATTATCCATTAGAGCACCCTTGAGAACAGGGGTATGACTATTTCTTATAAACAATTTTACAGTCTTTTCCTTAGTCCAATTCTAGAAGCAACAGGGTTCCCATTACTTCCCTCAGGAGAGTTTTCCATAACCCTATACGGCACTCTTCAAGGAATTTAGATGCTTCCAAAATATGTTGTTGTTTTTTTTTTTTTTTTTTGGGGGGGGGGGGGGGGGGGGGGGGGTTTTTTTTTTTTTTTTTTTTTTTTTTACCTTACCTGACAAGTACATAATGGTGATCTCCAAGTTCAGTCTTTACATTTTCTAATAGTTGCAGACCATTATCATATTCATTATTAATCACCATTTTTCAAGCTAATAAGGTGTATTTTTTTCTAATTTATTCTAAATTTTGAGATCTACACTGTGTGCCTCGAAAAGGCCAGGCACATTCTTTTAGTACAACTACAGCATAAATTAGAAAGATTTCCCCAGATCACTTACCATTTGAACTGTAATCATCTACCAGGATGATTTCTTTCAATAAATGAGAAGGTGTTCGATTAATTATGCTAGTAATTGCACGTAAGATGATTGACAGTGCCTCATTCATAAATATAAGGACAACACTGAGTGTTGGGAGAGCTTGAGGATATGTTTTCCTTTGACAGCTGTAATAGAAGGAGAACAAATTAGCACAGTTTCCAAAGAAAATCAGTGAACAAGGCAGCTGCAAGAAGACAGAACTGGTACATTAGGCTGAAAACACATAATGAGGGTTTAGTAAAAGAGAGGAGAGGAATCCTCCAAAGCCTAGTTTCACCATTCATTTAAACAATGTTAGGTTGAGAATGTAAACTGTTGGGATAAAGTTAATTTCTGTAAAGATAAAAACAACAATTACTGTTTATCAGTACTAAAGGGTCTTACAACATTGAATTATTAGTAAGAATTAAAGAATACAAGTAACCTGCCAGAGGTAATTAGCTTTCAAAAAGTAGCACATTTCACTCAATTTGGTTTCTGGCTTCTATAGAAGATTACAGTGATCAAACTTCACAGTAAACAGAAGCAGACCATATTCCTGAGCATCCCAAGGCATGATGCACAAAACCTCCCCAGAATTCACTTCAGAAGTGAGAACATAACTCCCATTCCACTTCAGACACTTTGAACTGAGAAGCACACACGAACAGACCTTAGTGATGGAGTTAGTGCTTGGTCCGGCCCATAGGACACCCACAGTTGAGGGCAATGTAACATTGTCCACCTCAGAAGCAACATGGAAGTCTGCTTCTTCAGCGGCTATATTGAAGGGGGGGAAAAGGGTAGGGAAGAAAGGTCCCAAGCAAGAAAAAGTTTAAAATATGGATATTATCTGTGTTACCTGGACATTATATAAGTCTCTGGATATTGCAGCATATAGGAGACTTAAAAACAAATATAAGCAACTAGAGCAAAACATATTTCAGATGTCTTGCCGTTGGGGCAATAAACAGACCAGGTTTCATTTCTTCTGTTTTTTTTTTTTTTTAATTATTTTTTACTTTTTTTCTAGCTTTAGAAAAACTATTTCAACTATAATGATAACATTATGCTCTTTTCCGCGCCTTCCCCCCCGCCCAAGTAACTTCCCTGCTCTGTGACTTCTTTTCACACTTTGGAGTATTACCTAAAAGTTGGCCAATACTTGGAAGAAAATTATAGAAAATATTCTAAAGAGATACAGCATAAATTTAAATCTATTTGTAGATTATTGTAACTTAGTCAACCCCTTCCCTTTAATTTTATGCTGCCTTGTGAACATCAAGGGGGCTTGTACTGTACCTAGGAGATCTGGTGTCCTTAATAAGTCGGTCCAGAGGTAGGCGATCACTGAGATAAACATTGTACCCATATTTTAAGAACAGATTCTGTGCAACAGTTTGCTCCTCTTCTCTTAAATCTGTACCCCAGCGTTTGAACAGGAATGAGTCTGGGTACAGCAAGCGATGTACACTCTTCTTTTCTTCCTTTGCATTTCCAGCCTGATGTACTTCAGTCCCGGAATTCTCTTGCAGTTTCTGATCATATTTTATTTGTTTTATATTTTCATGAAACTGTTCCATTGATTTTGCTAATTGAAAAGGAAATCACATCAATTAAATTGAGAATATTATCCATCATCAATGAGCCAAATTGTCCTCAAAATGATGCATGTGAAGAGGTGTGTGAAATTACAGCTAACCTGACATTAGCATGACCGTAGCACCAGACTCTCCCCTTTAAATGTCGCTGTCCACAACATCATTGACCATTGTTTATGGTCTCAATTACACTGGCATAGAGGAAGGGACACTGCAATGGTATTAGTGGAGAAATCTGTGAGTAGAGGCAACACACAAATTAAATCTGACCCAAACCATATCTATGATGTTTAGCTGACATTAATCTATCAAGGATCCACAGTTGGGTTCCTGTCTACGTCAGGATGTTTATATCATATTGGTCTTGAAGGTAAATACCATAACATGCCAAATGTATCATACAAGCACTTCTGTATAGCAATTAATGAGACACACACATAAGTTTAAAGTCATATTAAATTAGAGTTGCCTGACAGCTGTCCTTAATTATGGTCTAGAGACTGTTAGAAGAAAAGACTTGCTATCTTCTCCTCTAGTATTTCTTCTTTTTGGGAAGCAAAACATAAAAACATAATTATTTGAGAGAATAAGCACAGGACTCTTTACCCTTCTGGATTCTTAGTATATAGAGAAATTTCATTCCTAACATCCTACAAAATTAAGGTAGGACATGAATTTAAAGGGAAGGGGTATTTATACTCCTATGCTCCCTGTGCAGCCATTACTTTGTGCAGCCATGTCCATATAGCACAATTCAGTGCCACACAGTCTGTGTGGATTTAAGCAAACTTTATTGGGTACTTGAAGCAATTTAGGTGTTTTATCTTGATGATCTCCCTAAAGTGGTCTTTCACTGCTCTGTCTTGTAAAAGCCTAGCATATTAAGAAAGCACCCACAGGGCACAGCTACACAAAGTTACTGGCCTGGTACACCAAAGTCCTAACTAAAAACATGTGTCCTCAAGACAAATCCACTAAAAGACTTCAATACTTACAGGGCAAATCCTGCAGAACTTCACTTCCAGCATCCCATGCTCCACATGGAATGCATGCAGTCTGGTTATGTACCCAGACTCATGGGACAGAGACAATTCACCAAATGCATATACTGTCTAGCCCTGTGAGAGGTGACCAACTGGAACTGCTGTATCTATTCTGAAATCTTCCTCTCTTGGTTTTGGAGCTTCACATTCAGAGAAGACAAATGAAAGTGTCTGTTATCCAGCACCCAAAATACAGGACTTCTTCCACAAAGACAAATGCCTGTAACCTTCTCTACAGTATCATCCAATGGATGTAAATAAGGGAGTAACTGTAGACCCATAATATAGAGAAAGCCCTCATGTCCTTTTCAGGAAATCATCACACCAGGATGCCTCTTTGAAGTGCCTGCACGTTAATGCATGCAGCATGGGAAGCAAACAGGAGGAATTAGAAGGCTGTGTGTCCTTACAGGGCTACAGTATCATTCAGATCACAGAGAAATAGTGGAATTGCTTACATAACGGAATAGCTGCAATGGATGGAGGCAGGGTTTTCAGGAAGGACAGGCTAGGAAGGTGAGCAGTAGTTTCCGTTTTTGTGAGAGATCAGCTGCAATGCAGTGGGGGTAGAGGGAGGATCAGCTGAAGACTCATAGGTCAGGATTAGCCAGCTGACCATCACAGTTGGCACTGTAGTGGTTGTCTGCTGTGAAACACCTGAAGAGAAAGAATAGTGGATGGAACCTTTTCAGAGAACTGGAAGAAGATTCATGTTTACAAGCCTGGTCCTCATGAGGGAATTGAGACACCTTGATATCAGTTGGAGGGGAACACAGGGGGCTCAAGCAATCCAAGAGGTTTCTGGAAAGCAACTTCTAGCAGTGGCAATTGAAGACCTAGTGAGAAGTGGCTTTGCTGGATCTCGTTCTTAAAACCAAGGAAGAAGTGGTCAGAGGGAAGCAAGTCAAGGGCAGCCTTGGTTGCAGCAACAATAAGAATTCTGTGAGGAAGCAAGCAGGGCAAATAGTGACAGTTGCCACACAGGCAAGCATGGGACTCCAGATGGTGCAGCCCATAGAGGAGGTGTTTGCTCTGGGGTGCTCTCCAAAAGCTAACAAACTCCAAGTGCACCATGGCCACAGCCATCACGACTTGCAGCTGTGGTTGCCTAGACACCCTCTAACAGCCTCATGTTTGACAAGTTCAAACAATGGAGTGGTGGCACTGCAGATCCACACTATAAACATCTGGGTGCTGTGGAACCATTCCCCACCAAACACTCTGTTAATGTTAATAGACATATTGTTACTAATGAGAAGTGCTGTGGGCTTAGAAGTACGTTACCTGTTGATAGACACGCTGGTATTGACTGGAATCATACAGCTTTGGTATAACTGAGGGCTGGCATTGTTTTTGCTGACTATAGAGTAAGCCACATATGTTTGTGGTGGACTAGGACCCACAGTCAGCTGATCTGCGGACCCAACCACGCCGCCATCAGCAGGGACACTCTGCAGGGACACTCCTTGTGTCAACAGCCTGGTGAATATTATACCAGAATATTATACTGGAAGGGTGGCGCATAAAGAATGAGAGTGATTGCTAGACCGTGCACCTCTTGCAGAAAAATTCAGGGAAAGCTATACTGGAGTGTGTCCCTCAAGGAAAGGTTGACAGTAGTCATTGTATCGTGCACCTCATGATTTGACTGGTCTGACATGAGTATATATTTTCAGTTCTGTTATATGTCTAGCTTTAGATTTTAGCTACTTTTTAGCTACTTTTAGCTTTGTTATAATCTCTCATCTCTGATAAATTTTTATACTTGACGAATGATGATTTCTTGAGTTCAGTGCAACTAACCCCCTAAATCCAAAAGAATCATAGATATCCTTCTATTGGCACATCACAAAGAGCAGAATCACAACGTAGACTTAGGAAGAGCAAGCTCTTCAGGGAGCTAATAGGAAGAATCTAACGGGATATGGCCTAGGAAGGAAGAGGGATCTAAGAAAATTATTTGGTATTCAAGGATCACTTCCTGCAATTCAAGAACTGTCCATCCTAACGAGCACAACTCAAGCAAGGGGATAGAAGACCTGCATGGAGGAAAAAGAAACTCCTGGCAAAACTAGCAGGAAGTATACAGAAGGCATAAGCAGAGACAAGACCCAGGAGGAATATAGACACATTATCCAAGCAAGCAGGGTAGGGGCTGAGAGACTTAAATCTGAAGCCTACCTACAGTCATGAAAAATGCCACCTACCTTGCCGATACTGGCAAAGGATGTTAAGGACAACAAGAAAGGCTTCTACAAGTGCATAAGCAGCAAAGAGAAGGCTAGGAAAGAAAATGTGTGCCCACTGCTAAATTGCTTAGTGGCCCTGGTGGCAAAGGACACAAAAAAGGCAAAAGTACTCAATGTTTTCTTTGCCTCACTCTATAAGGGTAAGTCCAGTTCTCAAGAAACCCAGGCCTCCAAAATCAGAGAGAAGTCTGGAGCAATGAAGACTTACCCGTGATTGAGGAAGTTCAGGTTAAAGAAAACTTAAACAAACCTGACATGCAACAGTCTGTACAGTTACCAACAGTCAAAGCTACAAAAAATAGCTGAAGCAAGATTCTTCAAAATTTGTAAACAGCACTTTGAGAAAGCAAAGGCTAAATTTATTTCCCTTCCTTCTTTCCTTCCTTCCTAAATTAATAATTCGTATACACAAGCTCATCTGCTTGGATGTTAGGTTTGCACCACTGGTATATCTCAACAAATGCTACTTTAGAACATGGTCCAGTTAAGTAGGTGACTACTTACCCAAAAAGCAGAGTGTGAGGAAATGGGGTAAGAGGATTCCCAGGGATTCCCTCCATTTCAAGGACTATTAGCAATTTAAGATTAGTTTGCTGATAAAATAAGATGATCTTAAAGCCCGTAGAAAAGTTCAGGGATAGGAGCTCTCTAATATGCAAAAAGTACGGATAAGCCACAGTCATGGCTAAGACTTCAGTATGTTATATTCAAACAAAACATTCATTTATGACATCAAGATGTTTTCAAGCTTGCAAGAAAAAGTAAAGAATGCCCAGGGAAATCCAAATAAATATTAGCTCTACTGTCTATCATTCTATCCTTCAGGAAAACTAGATATCTAATTCTCACAAAGTTAAGCAGCACTGTATTTTACTTACAGAGATTGTAAATGTGCCAGTCCAAATGGTCCAGTCTCTCGAAGATGCTATTTTCTTGATTATGAGACTGAGGATTAACTACTGAGGAGTCACTTCTTCCCTTTCTCAGATCTTGTAGTGAGTGCATAATATAAAACACAAAACCTACATTCATTATTAGCAGTATGACTTTATCCACTCTCCTCCAGGGTGCCATTCTAAGTGCAACCCAAGACTTCTGCTGGTTGGAATTTGTATTAGTTTCAGGTTTCCACTCTGATTTCTCTTTCCGAATTCGTTCTTTCAAACAGCTCAGAGTCAAGCAGATGCAAAGAATTCTCAGATGAAGTAATTAACTGAGTTTAGCAGGTCATATAGTCGACAAAACTAAGGTGCAATGTAGACATATTTTCTCTATCATTTATATATATATATATGAATATATATATACACACATATGTATACACGTAAAAGTTACGCATTGACAGAGAAAGCAGGCAGTTCTCACAGCTTGCAATGAGTCAAATGACTCGAGTACTTATCTGGGGTTATTCTGTAGGAGGTACAAGACCATTGGGTAAGCCAATATCAGAAAGCCTCTGACGCAGCAAAGCACGCCTACACACAAAGAAGATTGGAATAAAATGTACGCCACTTATGTTTTGTGATCACTATTGGCTGGGAAGGGTAATATTTGATTTTAAAAACCTGCAAGTTTACCACATGTGCCTCTGGGTGGGGTCTAAATTCTCCAGTTGAAATTTTTGACATGTTGGGAATATGCCAGAAAATAAATGAAATTATCATAGAACAATGCATAATTATGTGCATTAG